CCTGGTCTCCTTACGGCCATGCAGACCGCGGAGGCTCTCTTCTCTCAAATCTTCCGGCACTACGGGATTCAGGAGGACATCGTGTCTGACCGTGGTCCTCAGTTCACCTCCCGTTTCTGGAAGTCCTTCATGGAATGACTGGGGGTCACAGTCAGCCTCACCTCCGGGTACCGTCCCAAATCTAAATCAGGAACTGGGTAGGTACCTTAGTAGTTACTGTAAGGACCGGCCGGGGGAGTGGGCTGCGTTTCTGCCTTGGTTAGAATAATCAAAAAACTCCCTCCGTCACTCCTACTAACCTCACACCCTTTCAGTGTGTTCTAGGCTATCAGCCGGCCCTGGAACCCTGGCACCGGAGTCAGATCGAGGCTCCTGAGATGGACAATTTGTTCCGGCGCGCTGAAGAGGAATGGAACACAGTGCACACTCGTCTCCAGTGCGTCATCCTCCGGCAGAAAAAGAGGATGTCTCTTTATATATAGTCCATTTTCCAAATCAAAGTAAACGCCATCTTTCAAATTGTGCCCTGATTAAACATGACACTTGTGTTTGGGTTCTTCAAAATTGACTGCAACGCCTCGAGAATGGGAACGTAAGAAAATTGATCAGTTATGACTATTTGATCATAAGTTCCAGTAGTTTTGTTTCTTCTATTGTCAAATCTATCACCAAGGACTTTCTCAACTGGTTGAACTGTTCCCCATTTTTGTATGAAACATTGTTTGAAACCGAATTCAACAATGTGAAAGGATTTTCAATATCCTGAACAGAATGTTGGATTTTTCTGACAGTTTCTTTGTCTTTTGAAGATATACAGTGGGGAAAAAAAGTATTTAGTCAGCCACCAATTGTGCAAGTTCTCCCACTTAAAAATATGAGAGAGGCCTGTAATTTTCATCATAGGTACACGTCAACTATGACAGACAAATTGAGGAAAAAAAATCCAGAAAATCCCATTGTAGGATTTTTTATGAATTTATTTGCAAATTATGGTGGAAAATAAGTATTTGGTCACCTACAAACAAGCAAGATTTCTGGCTCTCACAGACCTGTAACTTCTTCTTTCAGAGGCTCCTCTGTCCTCCACTCGTTACCTGTATTAATGGCACCTGTTTGAACTTGTTATCAGATAAAATACACCTGTCCACAACCTCAAACAGTCACACTCCAAACTTCACAATGGCCAAGACCAAAGAGCTGTCAAAGGACACCAAAAACTAAATTGTAGACCTGCACCAGGCTGGGAAGACTGAATCTGCAATAGGTAAGCAGCTTGGTTTGAAGAAATCAACTGTGGGAGCAATTATTAGGAAATGGAAGACATACAAGACCACTGATAATCTCCCTCGATCTGGGGCTCCACGCAAGATCTCACCCCGTGGGGTCAAAATGATCACAAGAACGGTGAGCAAAAATCCCAGAACCACACGGGGGGACCTAGTGAATGACCTGCAGAGAGCTGGGACCAAAGTAACAAAGCCAACCATCAGTAACACACTACGCCGCCAGGGACTCAAATCCTGCAGTGCGAGACGTGTCCCCCTGCTTAAGCCAGTACATGTCCAGGCCCGTCTGAAGTGCATTTGGATGATCCAGAAGAGGATTGGGAGAATGTCATATGGTCAGATGAAACCAAAATATAACTTTTTGGTAAAAACTCAACTCGTCATGTTTGGAGGACAAAGAATGCTGAGTTGCATCCAAAGAACACCATACCTACTGTGAAGCATGGGGTTGGAAACATCATGCTTTGGGGCTGTTTTTCTGCAAAGGGACCAGGACGACTGATCCGTGTAAAGGAAAGAATGAATGGGGCCATGTATCGTGAGATTTTGAGTGAAACCCTCCTTCCATCAGCAAGGGCATTGAAGATGAAACGTGGCTGGGTCTTTCAGCATGACAATGATCCCAAACACACCGCCCGGGCAACGAAGGAGTGGCTTCGTAAGAAGCATTTCAAGGTCCTGGAGTGGCCTAGCCAGTCTCCAGATCTCAACCCCATAGAAAATCTTTGGAGGGAGTTGAAAGTCTGTGTTGCCCAGCGACAGCCCCAAAACATCACTGCTCTAGAGGAGATCTGCATGGAGGAATGGGCCAAAATACCAGCAACAGTGTGTGAAAACCTTGTGAAGACTTACAGAAAACGTTTGACCTGTGTCATTGCCAACAAATGTTATATAACAAAGTATTGAGAAACTTTTGTTATTGACCAAATACTTATTTTCCACCATCATATGCCAATAAATTCATTAAAAATCCTACAATGTGATTTTCTGGAATTTTTTTCCTCATTTTGTCTGTCATAGTTGACGTGTACCTATGATGAAAATTACAGGCCTCTCTCATCTTTTTAAGTGGGAGAACTTGCACAATTGGTTGCTGACTAAATACTTTTTTTCCCCACTGTACATGTAAGAGCGGTCGCTTTAGCTTGACCCTGTATCTCTTGAACTGCTTCTTCCATGGAAAATACAAAACTACACTGCTCAAAAAAATAAAGGTAACACTTAAACAACACAATGTAACTCCAAGTCAATCACACTTCTATGAAATCAAACTGTCCACTTAGGAAGCAACACTGATTGACAATACATTTCACATGCTGTTGTGCAAATGGAATAGACAACAGGTGGAAATTATAGGCAATTAGCAAGACACCCCCAATAAAGGAATGGTTCTGCAGGTGGTGACCACAGACCACTTCTCAGTTCCTATGCTTCCTGGCTGATGTTTTGGTGACTTTTGAATGCTGGCGGTGCTTTCACTCTAGTGGTAGCATGAGACGGAGCCTACAACCCACACAAGTGGCTCAGGTAGTGCAGCTCATCCAGGATGGCACATCAATGCAAGCTGTGGCAAGAAGGTTTGCTGTGTCTGTCAGCGTAGTGTCCAGAGCATGGAGGCGCTACCAAGAGACAGGCCAGTACATCAGGAGACGTGGAGGAGGCCGTAGGATGGCAACAACCCAGCAGCAGGACCGCTACCTCCGCCTTTGTGCAAGGAGGAGCAGGAGGAGCACTGCCAGAGCCCTGCAAAATGACCTCCAGCAGGCCACAAATGTGCATGTGTCTGCTCAAACGGTCAGAAACAGACTCCATGAGGGTGGTATGAGGGCCCGACGTCCACAGGTGGGGGTTGTGCTTACAGCCCAACACCGTGCAGGACGTTTTGCATTTGCCAGAGAACACCAAGATTGGCCACTGGCGCCCTGTGCTCTTCACAGATGAAAGCAGGTTCACACTGAACACATGTGACAGACGTGACAGAGTCTGGAGACGCCGTGGAGAACGTTCTGCTGCCTGCAACATCCTCCAGCATGACCGGTTTGGCGGTGGGTCAGTCATGGTGTGGGGTGGCATTTCTTTGGGGGGTCGCACAGCCCTCCATGTGCTCGCCAGAGGTAGCCTGACTGCCATTAGGTACCGAGATGAGATCCTCAGACCCCTTGTGAGACCATATGCTGGTGCGGTTGGCCCTGGGTTCCTCCTAATGCAAGACAATGCTAGACCTCATGTGGCTGGAGTGTGTCCGCAATTCCTGCAAGAGGAAGGCATTGATGCTATGGACTGGCCCGCCCGTTCCCCAGACCTGAATCAAATTGAGCACATCTGGGACATCATGTCTCGCTCCATCCACCAACGCCACGTTGCACCACAGACTGTCCAGGAGTTGGCGGATGCTTTAGTCCAGGTCTGGGAGGAGATCCCTCAGGAGACCCTCCGCCACCTCATCAGGAGCATGCCCAGGCGTTGTAGGGAGGTCATACAGGCACGTGGAGGCCACACACACTACTGAGCCTCATTTTGACTTGTTTTAAGGACATTACATCAAAGTTGGATAAGCCTGTAGTGTGGTTTTCCACTTTAATTTTGAGGGTGACTCCAAATCCAGACTTCCATGGGTTGATAAATTTGATTTCCATTGATAATTTTTGTGTGATTTTGTTGTCAGCACATTCAACTATGTAAAGAAAAAAATATTTAATGAGATTATTTCATTCATTCAGATCTAGGATGTGTTGTTTAAAGTGTTCCCTTTATTTTTTTGAGCAGTGTATTTACAGTTGTCTGACCTACACCTGCAGCCTGCAGTTGTGCGATAGTAGACGCACACATATCAAGTGTATTCTGGTAAGATATTGGTACAACATGGTTACAACTAGAATTTGAAGGAAAATCAGCATTACTTGGCTGATTATCAACAGCTGTATTAGCATCCAAGTTAGCGTTTAACAACATTTGACAGTCTCCGGAATGTGCCCTGTTCAAATGCTTCCTAAAGTCTGAAAATCTACCAAATACATGACAAAAAGTGTGCTCGACCACATTTTAGTCTAAGAGTTCTACCAGGGCACATTCCATGCATCAACTTGAGATGCCTCACGAGCAAGTTGGTACTTCCATGACTAGCATGGCAAACAAAACATATCATCATAACTTAATCGGCATTAGCACAGGAGTCTAGCTCTGAGCTCAGCAACCCTTGGAGTCTCCTTAACCTTCCCAATGTCTATGTTGTACACAGTTACCTGTATGAAGATGTACATGTTGCGCAGCATTGTGTTGTAAGCAGTACCAAAAACAAAGTGAGTCTTGAAAAGCTAATCGAAGGCACCAAGAGCACTCGTTGACTTGCACGGCAAGGCTTGCTTGTCCAGGATGATGAAGTAAGCATGGATGCTGCTCTGCCTGGTCTCGACTGCAGGAAGATATGGTTGGCAGCTCTGGTCAATCGCATCAAGGTGCTCCTGGTTCCTGCCTGAAGACGACAAAAAGGAACACCATCATTAGTTCATCATAACGGCTGCAGCACTATCCAAGAATAAGAATGCCAATACAAACCTTTTGGAATATCACAAGATGCTGTTCAGCTTGGGATGCAGACATCTTGCCTGGTCTTTTGTGGCCTTGTGATGATAATAACCAAGTCCCATTTGCTCAGATACCATACCAGACTAATTAAACGCAGATGCCCTTCATCAGTTGTAATACATACTTACATATCCATTTGCGGTGTAGGGATCCTTCAGGTATGAGAACAAGGAGACGATGCCTTATGCAAACATTTCTCTCACACTGTGCGGTGGTGATGTCCTGACAAGAATATAATGTTATGTTTAGGTGGCAATCAGAATCTCCACAAGCAGCATTGGTCCCCAGTCAGCTAAATATCAGGAGTAATTTTTGAAGCAGTATCATGCCCATCAAGTTTGATACAAGAGAAACCTTCTACCAATAGTACTGCTCAACTATTTTCATTATGAATCTTTCCTTTAAACTTTCCCGTGAGTCTCTGTCATCGCCGAAACAAGAATGTTGATCATCTTTCGTCTTGTGCAGTCAGTCAGGCTTTTAGTTTTGGAGTATTCCTTGATGACAAACTCTCCACCAGGCTTTTTCTTCAGTATGCTCTCTATTAGCTGTAAAAAACAAAACAAAACAAAACAGCAGTGAAAAATAAATTTGATGGCAAGTGAATTGAAGAATAAATTACAAACTTAAATTGTTTGCTTCGTCATCAGATCTTTGATACTTTCATGAGTGGCTTCCATCCTCGCTCCAAATGATTGTATAATTCGACTCATGGTCTGAACACCCATCACAGAACTGGCGGAGACAGGACTCATCAGGGAAGATTCTGAAATACACAAAGATGACAATACAGGCATGTCAAATGTATGGTTATATTGAAAGTGATGCCACAAGTAACCAAGACTTGAAAACCAGCACATACCTTTACCATCATTGTTCAGTGTGAGCTTGAAAACATCAAGATCTGGCCGTTTCACCACCTCCTCAAACACATCCCCATCAACTTCAATTCAAGACCCATCATACAGCTTTGCCTCTGATAAACTAGTACGTGGGATCTCAAATTTCAGGAAAGCTGTGACAAACATTAAAACAACAACCTACAATTAGAATTTCAATCGTAATGGTAAGAGTAATCAGACTGACTTGTAAATGTATGAAAACAATACATTTATTTCCAATCACAAATCAAAAGGTTTTCAAGTGTCAGGTCAATGATCTTGACATTTTTTTGTTCACCATTGAATTTCACCCTGATCAGCATGACTAGGTCTGAAAGCAGTTAAATACATTTGTATTTCAATCATGACACATTATAAGGATGACTACAAACGTTTTCACCAATACTCCTTTACTTAGCAATGCTAATTTCAAAGTATGTTATGAAAATATTGGAACATGACCACAACTTGTCTGATATTACTTGAAGCAGGACCCAAACTATAGCAAACAGACTATTCAACTCACATTCACTGTCCCGAAATATGGACACGGCCTAATTAGTCCAGTAAAATACACTCATAATTCCAGCTAGTCACTATATTATGTTGTCATGTTCTAGGAGCAGTCTTACAAGACCACCAAAATGAACTGGTGATAAAGCGAGTGGGAAACGCAGTTAGCTAGACTAGATAGCTGCCGATGCAATGGCCACAACATTTATCTAAAAGCATCACCCACAAGTCGTAAAATTAATGTCTAATTTGCTAAATAAACAACTCACCTTAATCAGATTAGTCCTCAATATATAGTAAGCAGCTGAAATAAAGAGAACAAACTAGCATGAGGCAAAAAAAAGCTTGGTGCTGAAATGAGACACGTGCCCATGGAACCACCACGTGGAGCAGACTAACTGCACAGGACAGGGGCGAGCTAGTTAGCTGAGTAAAAGTCTACACTAATAGGGTAAAATGTTATACCTTAGCAATTGACACCAGTTATCAGCACTGACGCTAGGGGTCATTTGGCACTGCCAGTTGTTAAAACAACTCTATGGGAGTCGATCACTGTTGACAGTGTGAATTTAACACTGGTGATTTTACTGTGTATAGTTAAGGAATTTGCGATGATGCCCCTTGGTTTGCTGCTCGTGCCCTCTCGGGCCATCTGTTCAATGTGCTCATTCAGTGGGAGCCAGTGTGAAGTTCTCCTGGCCCAGTAGTTATGGTATTACCATTTCCAGGAATTCTTCCATTCCAGTTGTTCCACAGCTTTCGGGGAAATTTACTAAACAAAGATTTGAATGGCGACTGAAGTCCTCCATCCCGTTTAATCTTTCAGTAAGACCGCAAGGCACTACAGAGGGTAGTGCGTACGGCCCAGTACATCACTGGGGCAAAGCTCCCTGCCATCCAGGACCTCTATACCAGGCGGTGTCAGAGGAAGGCCCTCAAAATTGTCAAAGACTCCAGCCACCCTAGTCATAGACTGTTCTCTCTGCTACCGCACGGCAAGCGGTACCGGAGTGCCAAGTCTAGGTCCAAAATACTTCTCAACAGCTTCTACCCCCAAGCCATAAGACTCCTGAACAGCTAATCATGGCTACCCGGACTATTTGCACTGCCCCCCCACCCCATCCTTTTTACGCTGCTGCTACTCTGTTAAGTATTTATGCATAGTCACTTTAACTCTACCCACATGTGCGTATTGCCTCAACTACCTCAACTAGCCGGTGCCCCCGCACATTGACTATGCAACGGTACCCCCCTGTATATATAGCCTCCCTACTGTCACTTTATTTTACTGTATATATAGCCTCCCTACTGTCACTTTATTTACTTCTGCTCTTTTTTTCTCAACACTTTTTTGTTGTTGTTTTATTCTTACTTTTTTGTTTAAAATAAATGCACTGTTGGTTAAGGGCTGTAAGTAAGCATTTCACTGTAATGTCTGCACCTGTTGTATTCGGCGCATGTGACCAATAAAATTTGATTTGATTTTATTTGATTTGATTTAATTATGTATTTTTGTTCATCCACAGTTTTCTGGAGAAATGTTCTCCAGGGTTAACCCGATTGCGGCCTCCTTCACGCAGTTCAGTCATATCAGTTTAGATTTATTTTACATTATCTGATATTTTCTTCATCTGTTTGGACAGTTTCTCATTGCCAGTGCGAATTTCTGTTTGTAGTGTCTCTAAACTCACTTTAGTGGAGTCTTCAGCTACTTGGTCCATGGTTGCGTTGTTTTGTTGTGTTTGTCTCTATTTCTCGATCTAGTATTTGCCATAACATGCAGTTGCCAAACTAACATTCCAGTTATTTCTTGACGTTAGAGTCGAGTTCTTTCCTAATTAAGAGACATCATTTTTGTAAAGACATGGAATACCAAACTGATAACCTTCACCTGACTACCTCAAAGTAGCTATACCTGAAATCACATCCTATAAATGTTTCCAATTTACATATTTGACATACGCTGACATTGCGCATGTTCATTTATACAGTAATTCATATTCAACATGTCCTCACCAGGGATTTGAACTCACAACCTCCTGTTTCACAGCATTCCAATCTTCCTGCTACGCCACCATATGGTCTTTCAGATTGAATCTTGTCCTTACCTGCAACCCATTGGGACACATTTTTAATAGCCCCCAAGAGGAGGGTAGCTATGACTCTGCACTGTCACGTATCATGATAAGCCCCACTGTCAAAGTAAGAAAATGTCATATACATACCTGTAACTAACACAAAAGTATCCAAATGTACAGGATGTGGTCCTGTGGGGCTCAGTCGGTATGATTCCAGCTAGAGCCACCCATACATCGAATGTATGCACGTATGACTGTAAATTGCTTTGGATATAAGCATCTTCTAAATGGCATGTTCTTTTATGCATCTTTAATTTAACCCTGTGAGCTCGTTTGCCAGATCAAATATATTTTGTTAAATTAAGGACATATACATTAAATATTCAAATCCTTGCACCATCTCAACCCCACTAACGATGAGGTTTAAAGAACCACTGCCCACTGGGGATCTTTAATGCTATAGATCATCATGTTTGGAGTCTATCCATGTGTTGTATCATGGCTCCCAAGGGGCCAATCCAGCATTAGCATTACAGCACCAATCAGCAGGAGGAATTAGCTGCCTTTGATCCGGGGAGACAGTCATCCTCAATCTGATTCGCTGCTACGAAAACAACCAAAGCATAAGTCAATGATATTTCTTACAGTTTGGCACTGTTTTACACCAATTTCACTGTTTTACTATAAAACTATAGGCCTATATCTTTTATAGTGTTACGAGGATCATTGTTATTTCAAATTACGCTTATAGAAAATAAATTATCCAAGTGATAATGGTGTACATTGACTAACTGCATGTACAATGCCTTGCAAAAGTATTCATCCCCCTTGGCATTTTTCCTATTTTGTTGCATTACATCCTGTAATTTAAATGGATTTACATTTTTTAATTGGTGAAGTGAAATGAAAAAAATAACTTATTAAAAAAATAAAATAATAATAATAACAGAAAGTGGTGCGTGCATATGTATTCACCCCCTTTGCTATGAAGCCCCTAAATAAGATCTGGTGCAACCAATTACATTCAGAAGTCAAAAATAACCTGTTTGCTATCTAAGTGTCACATCATCTGTCACATGATCTCAGTATATATACACCTGTTCTGAAAGGCCCCAGAGTCTGCAACACGACTAAGCAAGGGGCACCACAAAGCATGCGGCACCATGAAGACCAATGAGCTCTCCAAACAGGTCAGGGACAAAGTTGTGGAGAAGTACAGATCAGGGTTGGGTTATAGAAAAATATCCAAAACTTTGAAAATCCCACGGAGCACCATTCAATTCATTATTAAAAAATTGAAAGAATATGGCACCACAATAAACCAGCCAAGAGAGAGCCGCCCACAAAACTCATGGACCAGGCAAGGAGGGCATTAATCAGAGAGGCAACAAAGTGACCAAAGATAACCCTGAAGGAGCTGCAAAGCTCCACAGCGGAGATTGGAGTATCTGTCCATAGGACCACTTTAAGCCATACACTCCACAGAGATGGGCTTTATGGAAGAGTGGCCAGAAAAAAGCCATTGCTTAAAGAAAAAAATAAGCAAACACGTTTGGTGTTCGCCAAAAGGCATATGGGAGACTCCCCAAACATATGGAAGAAGGTACTTTGGTCAGATGAGACAAAAATGTAGCTTTTTGGCCATCAAGGAAAACGCTATGTCTGGCGCAAACCCAACACCTCTCATCACCCCGAGAACACCATCCCCACAGTGAAGCATGGTGGTGGAAGCATCATGCTGTGGGGATGGTTTTCAGCTGCAGTGACTGGGAAACTGGCGCTAAATACAGGGAAATTCTTGAGTGAAACCTGTTTCAGTCTTCCAGAGATTTGAGACTGGGACGGAGGTTCACCTTCCAGCAGGACAATGACCCTAAGCATACTGCTAAAGCAACACTCGAGTGGTTTAAGGGGAAACATTTAAATGTATTGGAATAGCCTAGTCAAAGCCCAGACCTCAATCCAATTGAGAATCTTTGGTATGACTTAAAGATTGCTGTACACCAGCGGAACCCATCCAACTTGAAGGAGCTGGAGCAGTTTTGCCTTGAAGAATGGCCAAAGATCCCAGTGGCTAGATGTGCCAAGCTTATAGAGACATACCCCAAGATATTTGCAGCTGTAATTGCTGCAAAAGGTGGCACTACAAAGTATTGACTTTGGGGTGGTGAATAGTTATGCACGCTCAAGTTTCTGTTGTTTTGTCTTATTTCTTGTTTGTTTCACAAAATAAAATATTTTGCATCTTCAAAGTGGTAGGCATGTTGTGTAAATCAAATGATACAAACCCCCAAAAAATCAATTCTAATTCCAGGTTGCAAGGCAACAAAGTAGGAAACATTCCAAGGGGGGTGAATACTTTCGCAAGCCTCTGTTTGTCTTTGACTTGTAAATTGGTGGCCGAGTTACAGAGCACGCTATGTAGAGCATGTGAGGGCTTAATGAAAGACATCCGAGAGAATAGGGCTATGATCCCAGCTGTGCCTCCTCTTTGAGACAATGGTCATTCTAACGCAAACTACTTTGAAGCTACTTCTCTTTGATGTGAATAAAGAAAGAGATGGGACACCAAAGACTTCACTTAACTAGATTACTGACGACCAGGCAGACAACCCAATCCCAAATTCCTTTTAATAGGATACTGTATACAGTGGGGAGAACAAGTATTTGATACACTGCCGATTTTGCAGGTTTTACTACTTACAAAGCATGTAGAGGTCTGTAATTTTTATCATAGGTACACTTCAACTGTGAGAGACGGAATCTAAAACAAAAATCAAGAAAATCAAATTGTATGATTTTTAAGTAATTAATTTGCATTTTATTGCATGACATAAGTATTTGATACATCAGAAAAGCACAACTTAATATTTGGTACAGAAACCTTTGTTTGCAATTACAGAGATCATACGTTTCCTGTAGGTCTTGACCAGGTTTGCACACACTGCAGCAGGGATTTTGGCCCACTCCTCCATACAGGCCTTCTCCAGATCCTTCAGGTTTCGGGGCTGTCGCTGGGCAATACGGACTTTCAGCTCCCTCCAAAGATTTTCTATTGGGTTCAGGTCTGGAGACTGGCTAGGCCACTCCAGGACCTTGAGATGCTTCTTACGGAGCCACTCCTTAGTTTCCCTGGCTGTGTGTTTCGGATCGTTGTCATGCTGGAAGACCCAGCCACGACCCATCTTCAATGCTCTTACTGAGGGAAGGAGGTTGTTGGCCAAGATCTCGCGATACATGGCCCCATCCATCCTCCCCTCAATACGGTGTAGTCGTCCTGTCCCCTTTGCAGAAAAGCATCCCCAAAGAATGATGTTTCCACCTCCATGCTTCACGGTTGGGATGGTGTTCTTGGGGTTGTACTCATCCTTCTTCTTCCTCCAAACACGGCGAGTGGAGTTTAGACCAAAAAGCTCTATTTTTGTCTCATCAGACCACATGACCTTCTCCCATTCCTCCTCTGGATCATCCAGATGGTCATTGGCAAACTTCAGATGGGCCTGGACATGCGCTGGCTTGAGCAGGGGGACCTTGCGTGCGCTGCAGGATTTTAATCCATGATGGCGTAGTGTTTTACTAATGGTTTTCTTTGAGACTGTGGTCCCAGCTCTCTTCAGGTCATTGACCAGGTCCTGCCATGTAGTTCTGGGCTGATCCCTCACCTTCCTCATGATCATTTATGCCCCACGAGGTGAGATCTTGCATGGAGCCCCAGACTGAGGGTGATTGACCGTCATCTTGAACTTCTTCCATTTTCTAATAATTGCGCCAACAGTTGTTGCCTTCTCACCAAGCTGCTTGCCTATTGTCCTGTAGCCCATCCCAGCCTTGTGCAGGTCTACAGTTTTATCCCTGATATCCTTACACAGCTCTCTGGTCTTGGCCATTGTGGAGAGGTTGGAGTCTGTTTGATTGAGTGTGTGGACAGGTGTCTTTTATACAGGTAACGAGTTCAAACAGGTGCAGTTAATACAGGTAATGAGTGGAGAACAGGAGGGCTTCTTAAAGAAAAACTAACAGGTCTGTGAGAGACGGAATTCTTACTGGTTGGTAGGTGATCAAATACTTATGTCATGCAGTAAAATGCAAATTAATTACTTAAAAATCATACAATGTGATTTTCTGGATTTTTGTTTTAGATTCCATCTCTCACAGTTGAAGTGTACCTATGATAAAAAATTACAGACCTCTACATGCTTTGTAAGTAGGAAAACCTGCAAAATCGGCAGTGTATCAAATACTTGTTCTCCCCACTGTATATTAGTTGCTGGCTGTGACATTGCTGTCTTTATTCAATATGTCAAATGGCTTTTGGGTTGCTGGGTAGAAATTGAACAGTAATTTCATTGGCTGTAATGTGTTTTTTAGACCATTTCTGACTTTTTGTTTCAACGTAGCATACTGTTATACATTTTGGACTACTGGAAAGCTGGAAAATAACGTAATTTTTCAAGGAACATAATCGGAACCTGGAACGTAAGTGATCCATAGTGTTCCGGAACAGAAGCATTATTTTAAAAGCATGGAACCGGTTAATAACGTTATTTTACATCACCGATTTATTTTGGGTCCCACAACAAAATGCAACAAAGCGCCTATGCAAAGCCCTCACTCTGTCAATCAGAAACGTATTCCAGTGTCTGCATGCAAGCTGAAAATATTTGCCTGTGTATGTTTAAGCTACCCGCCTTCAAACCGGTTCAGAACTTTATTTTGCTGGTCGGAAAAGTGGAACGAAACCAACAAAATAGTTGTTCTGTTCAGAACGCAACGACTGAAAAACAATTTCGATTCCAACCCCTGACACACACACACAAACACAGCCATTGTCCAGCGTTGTCAAAAATGTGTAATGTGAGGGCCTCCCGAGTGGTGCAGCAGTCTAAGGCACTGCATCACAGTGCTAGAGGTGTCACTACAGACCCGGGTTTGATCCCAGGCTGTGTTGCAGACCCATGAGGCGCCGTCCGGGTTAGGGGAGGGTTTGGCCGGCCGGGATGTCCTTGTCCCATCGCGCTCTAGCGACACCTTGTGACGGGCCGGTTGCATGCACTCTGACTTCGGTCACCAGCTGTACGGTGTTTCCTCCGACACATTGGTGCGGCTGGCTTCCGGATTTAGCAAGCAGTGTGTCAAGAAGCAGTGCGGCTTGGCGGGGTCGTGTTTCGGAGGACGCATGGCTCTCAACCTTCGCCTCTCCCGAGTCCGTACGGGAGTTGCAGCGATGGGACAAGACTGTAACTACCAATTGGGGAGAAAAAGGGGTAAAAAGTACAACAACACATTTTTTTTATTGAGTTACAAGAGGAGAGTACTGCTGTGTTTTCAGGAAAAGTTGAGCACTGGAAATTCCGATTTCACCCAAAGAGACAGTGATCCTGCTAACATCCCAGAGACTGTCTGTGACTGTGTCAAGCACCCAGCAAACCATGCCAGAGACGTATGCCTTCCTGACATCCCTGACAAACTACATCACAGAGGGCAATGGACATTCTTACCTGGTTAAATAAAGGTGAAATAAAAATAAATAAAAAAGCCATTTCCTGCCTTTAATTTGTCAAAAGTGGTGATGTAATGTACTCACAAGCCAGTTCCCATGGTATCGTTTACAGCACTTTATCCTACTTTCCCAGATTTCTATCTTTCTTTGCTCATCATTCTTTTTTTTGCCTTGCCATGCATGCAATTACTCCAGCCATTAGCATCTCTTCTCTCTGGCCTCCCGTCGGTGATATGCACCAGATCAAAGTCAAATGGAAGAAGGACTGAAATAGTGTCAAATGGAGGGAGGACTGAAATAGTCACAGTGTGACATGCATGTGATACAGACAGTTTATTCAATATTTCTTTACAAATATTAGAGAGAAGACAAACCGAGTCCTCTTTTAGCATTTTGAATGTCCTATTTAGTTACAGACAAACCGTGAAATCATGTCAGTAAAAATACAGGACATGATTCTTCCAGCAGAATCAATAACTTTCTAAGGGTATATTTTCAGTTCTCCCATGTCCTTGGTCACAGAAACACTTTTCTCTAAAGCTCGTCTACATTATTTTTCTTTATGACCTCCCTCGGTCTGCATCCCAAGCATCAACGTATGTACTGTAAAGTGTACATGTCTGTGCTGATCAAGGCCTTGCTAGTTGTTTGTGTGAAGTTGTGTTTTACCACTTTTAAAAAAGCCAAATGAACACATTGTGGTTGTTGTGTGGGAGAGATGAGTTCACCACCAAGGCTTACTGACATGCAGTTGTCAGAGGAGCTGTAGTCTACGGGTGATGTATGGCAGCAACCCTAGAAATTGAATAAAAAAGGCACACTTACTCCACAGCAATATGTCAAGCTGTGACACCCCAGTCTCCATCCCACCCCAGGATTAAAATACCATCCTCACACCATAGTAAATTTGTCATCATCAGTCTCCTTTAGCCTCCGCCGCTTTGTGGATGTTGTCATTGATTACTTGAATTCAGTCGGTTCCCTCTATGATGTGTGTGAGCCAAAGATACATCAATGTAATGTGAAATCAGTGAAATATATGCATTTAAGATAAATATGAATGTATTTATGATTTATGACAATCTAAACTTAAGTTTCACCTCTTTCAATCTAGTTCCCGTATCTGACACTATCAGTGCAGTCGTGGAGACAGACAGACATGGGTTTGACGCTAATGTAATCACCCCAGTGTGTTATGTTGTTTGAGGTTAATTGCATTAGCAGCTTCCAGATATGCCTCGTCCAGATCTGCTGAATAACAATAGCAGATCCTGCTTGGGTTGTTAGTGTGTCAGGTCACGGGGTTAATGGCTCTAAAGAGAGCTATAAATATATCGCCACAGCCATTAACACATGGGCCAACATGCCCTTGGTTGAACAATTATGTAAGCATTTCTAGCATTCAGCATCAAATCATTTTAAGACCCTGTATTGTAAGGGTCCCATATCAACAAATCACAACTACCAACAGTACATATCCAGTCTACTGGTGTTAGCTGTGAAACGAGCTGTGAGGCTAGCCAATATAAGTGAATCCAGTATAGACATTATAGAAATGGGTTAAATAATAATGTAGATCAGTACTAATCACCCTTAAACTGAATCCCTCAGATTATAAAAGGAGGAGAAGAGTACATCTCTATCTGTCGACCACACACACAGGATGAGATATAGAGAAACAGGTGGTACAGGAATGGATCATCAATGGACATACACACGCACGCACAAACACTGCTTGCACACACACGGACGCACATAACCACATACACTCTCATACACGCACATAGCCTACATACACATGCATGCAAATAAATACACACAAACGTACATATACACGTACACAGACACACATTTATAATTTCGTCTGCGCAACAGTCAATTCAGACTGTGGGGAATCGTGTAACTAGGCACGTTCTTTTCACCAAAGAGTGTGTTCCCTGCCTGCACCTCTTTCTCTGAAACCCTGCGGGAGCCTGGGAGAGGCTGCAGTCAGCAGTAGTTATTGTAGTCTTGTCTTTATCTATCTGGTGGTGGTGAGGGCTTCTAAATGAAAGGGAATATATTTATGGAGCTTTTTCCTGCTGTTATATTGAAATGGCATTTTGTTTGAAGTTATTTTTGTGTCAGATAAACAAAATAATTGATAGAACTGAGTGAGAGTTAACATAAATGGTTGATGTGCCTAAGGCAAGGTTTTCAAATGGGCATTTACATTAAAACAAAACAAAAATTGTGTGTGTTTATGCACATTGACTTCCTGTGTAAAGTTGAACCAATCAACGTTTATTTTACCCTTTTCAAACACAAGACTCCTCTATGCGTTTTGCAAAAGGCTCATGCTATCAAGGGCTCATGCTATCAAGGGGTTTTGTTTTCCCCCTCTCCTTTTGAAGTTCAGATGGTAACTCTGTTCTCCAGAGGCAACTTTTTAATTTCTATAGTGAGTCAGACCAAAAATAATTCAACTTATTTCTATCAATCTATTTGTTGATCTTTTTGTGTCAGGCTCGGTGAATCCAATCAGAATGCAGCCCTTAAGCCCTTTGACACCGCCAACAACAGTGTATGTTCTCCCGGTGTGTAAGCTGTCTATCAGATAATAGGAGACTCAACCTCTGCCTGCCTGCTGCGTCCTGATGGAGGTGGCCCTGGCCTAACGCTCTTACCTGATGGCCGCCATGCCCTGGCAGCCTTATCTCTACCCCGTCTCTCCCCGTCTCCTCCAGGGAAATCTCCCGAGAGCAGCTGCCCTTATCAATGTGCCTCTCCCAACCGCCTCCCATCCGACCCGCTCTCGATGACAGCAGCGCAGAGGATTCCGTAATCTGCCTAGACTTTAACGAAATTAAACCGCAGGCCGGTGCACCGGTACACCGGGGAGATGCAGCATCAGGGTAACGGACATTAATACAGTCGTGCATCTGCTGGAAATAAGCACCTAGAGACCAACCTGGCTTCTGTTATTGTTTCAGCCCTTCCACTCTCATTAAGAGTAAACAGAAAGGGAAGGTACAGAGGAATGTTTAAAGCAGAGAAATGACGAGTGACGCTGATGAACAGTTTACAGACATCACTCGTGACTTGACAAATTGTTGAGAACAATCAGTGTATATGAAGTCACAGGTGCTGTCTATTTTTCTCTCACCATTCTTTCTGGTTATTCATTAAAAAGCATCCTTGTCAAGAACACCATTTGTTTACCTCAAACCCACTGAAGTTTCAAGTTTAATTAGTCGTATGTACGGAATACGCATGGAATACTTCGTCCAACGAAATGCTTACAGTTTCCTTCTCGACAATGCAACAACAACAAGAAATAATAAAAGATAAGAATACGAACATAAAGTAAATGGCTCAGTGGAATAGAATGGCACAACTGGAGTAGAAGTGTGGCAAAATTGGCTAAAGTTCAAATCATCCATCCCACCATTACGCAAGTCCACAGAGAGGTTTTCAATTTCTCCTACTAGTATTGACGCTCTAGACATACACTACCAGTCAAAAGTTTAGACACACCTACTCATTCAAGGGTTTTTCTTTATTTTTCCTATTTTTACATTGTAGAATTATAGTGAAGACATCAAAACTATGAAATAACACATATGGAATCATGTAGTAACCAAAAAAGTGTTAAACAAATACGTGTATATATATATATTTTACATTTGAGATTCTTCAAATAGCCACCCTTTGCCTTGATGAAATCTTTGCACACTCTTGGCATTCGCTCAACCAGCTTCATGAGGTAGTCACCTGGAATGCATTTCAATTAACATGTGTGCCTTCTTAAAAGTTAATTTGTGGAATTTCTTTCCTTCTAATGCGTTTGAGCCAATCAGTTGTGTTGTGACAAGGTAGGGGGGTGGTATACAGAAGATAGCCCTATTTGGTAAAAGATCAAGTCCATATTATGGCAAGAACAGCTCAAATAAGCAAAGAGAAATGACAGTCCATCATTACTTTAAGACATGAAGGTAAGTCAATACGGAACATTTCAAGAACATTGAAAGTTTCTTCAAGTGCAGTGGCAAAAACCATCAAGCGCTATGATGAAACTGGCTCTCATGAGGACCGCCACAGGAATGGAAGAACCAGAGTTACCTCTGCTGCAGAGGATAGGGTCATTAGAGTTACCAGCCTCAGAAATTGCAGCCTAAATAAATGCTTCACAGAGTTCAAGTCACAGACACATCTCAAAATCAACAAAATCAGCGTGGCTACTGTTCAGAGGGGACTGTGTGAATCAGGCCTTCAAGGTCGAATTGCTGCAAAGAAATCACTACTTGTCACAAGCCGGGCTAGAACTCCGGTCTCAGATGTGGAAAGCTGGGGGTACTACCCCTTAGCCACAGAGGAGATGTTGTAGGACCCAAATGAAACACCCAAGGCAATACTCCAGGTAAGTTGATTTAATGTTCCAAAACAGGAGGCAAAACAAAACAACTCCACGAGGGGAGAAAAACAAACTAAAGATAACTTCGAACAGCTTACTAGGACAGACACGGTGGAACAAAGCAGGAGACACATAGTCAGGACGCAATAACCAAGTGAGAAACAAGGGGAAAACACACAGCTAAAATACTAAAGGGAAAACAAGGCACAGGTGACCTGGATCAAACTAATGAGGACACACGAGGAAGAACTAAGGCAGAGGGGAACACAGCTGACCTCTAGAGGCCCGGAGACAAACAGGAGAAGCAGGAAGCTGACAGGACCCCCTCCTCTAGGAACGACTCCTGACGTTCCTTCCAGAACACCCTGGCCCCCGGGTGCGAAAATCTCGGATCAACCCTGGGTCCAGGATGTCCCTGGCTGGAACCCAGGAGCGCTCCTCTGGCCCGTAGCCCTCCCAGTCCACCAGATACTGCAGAGAGTTCTGGACCCTCCGGGAGTCCAGTATCCGGCGGACTGTGTAGGCTGGCTGGCCGTCAATGATCCTGGGAGGTGGCGGGGGTCTGCGTGGGGGGGCAAAGGGAGAAGACAAGACAGGTTTAATAAGTGAAACATGGAAAGTGGGGTTAATTCTAAGGGAACGAGGGAGAACCAAACGATAAGACACAGGGTTAACCTTTCTAGCAATGCGGAAAGGGCTGATGTATCTCTGGGAAAGCTTCTTGGACTCGACCCGGAGGGGCAGGTTCTTAGTGGCCAACCAAACTCTCTGACCAGCTCGGAAACTAGGGGCCGTCCGGCGGTGGCGATTAGCCTGACCTTGGTATCTCTGGGAGGTCCGAAGGAGGGCACGCCTGGCCTTCTTCCAGGTCCGCCTACAGCGTTGGACAAAGCGCTGGGCCGAGGGAACACCAACTTGCGCCTCCTCCTCTGGAAATAATGGAGGGTTGTAACCGAACTGGCATTCGAAGGGGGACAATCCGGTGGCTGAGGACTGGAGGGTGTTGTGGGCATATTCAGCCCAAATGATATAGGTGGCCCAAGACGTGGGATTACTGGCCGCCATACACCGCAGGGTGGTCTCCAGATCCCGATTAATCCGTTCCGTTTGACCATTAGACTCTGGATGGAACCCCGACGATAGGCTGGCTGTGGCCCCCACAAGCCTGCAGAAGGCCCCCCAAAACCGGGACGAGAATTGGGGACCTCGGTCCCCCACGTGGTAGTTGCGCTCGGCCTCAGACAGGCGGCGAGACATGAAGGCACAAGGGTGTAATCTCCCATCCGCACCCCTCTGTGACAGGACGGCTCCCACCCCCACCTCAGAGGCGTCCACCTCCACCACGAAAGGTCTTTCTGGGTCAGGGGTCACCAGAATCGGAGCAGAAGTGAAGCGGCGCTTGAGATCCTCGAAGGCCCCTGCTGCTTCCGGACCCCAGTGAATCTTGGTCCCTCCTCCCTTGGTAAGCGTCGTCAAAGGGGCTACCACCGAGCTGAAATTCCTGATGAACTTCCGATAGAAGTTAGAAAAGCCAATGAACCGTTGAACCTCCTTGACCGTGGCAGGTGTGGGCCAATCGTGGACCGCCTTGACCTTCTTGGGATCCATCTCTAGGTGCCCGGGAGTGACAATAAACCCGAGAAACTGAGTCTGAGAAACATGAAATTCACACTTCTCAGGCTTAACGTACAGTGAGGAAAAAAAGTATTTAGTCAGCCACCAATTGTGCAATTTCTCCCACTTAAAAAGATGAGAGAGGCCTGTAATTTTCATCATAGGTACAAGTCAATTATGACAGACAAATTGAGAAAAAAAAATCCAGAAAATCACATTGTAGGATTTTTAATGAATTTATTTGCAAATGATGGTGGAAAATAAGTATTTGGTCACCTACAAACAAGCAAGATTTCTGGCTCTCACAGACCTGTAACTTCTTCTTTAAGGGGCTCCTCTGTCCTCCACTCGTTACCTGTATTAATGGCACCTGTTTGAACTTGTTATCAGTATAAAAGACACCTGTCCACAACCTCAAACAGTCACACTCCAAACTCCACTATGGCCAAGACCAAAGAGCTGTCAAAGGACACCAGAAACAAAATTGTAGACCTGCACCAGGCTGGGAAGACTGAATCTGCAATAGGTAAGCAGCTTGGTTTGAAGAAATCAACTGTGGGAGCAATTATTAGGAAATGGAAGACATACAAGACCACTGATAATCTCCCTCGATCTGGGGCTCCACGCAAGATCTCACCCCGTGGGGTCAAAATGATCACAAGAACGGTGAGCAAAAATCCCAGAACCACACGGGGGGACCTAGTGAATGACCTGCAGAGAGCTGGGACCAAAGTAACAAAGCCTACCATCAGTAACACACTACGCCGCCAGGGACTCAAATCCTGCAGTGCAAGAGGTGTCCCCCTGCTTAAGCCAGTACATGTCCAGGCCCGTCTGAAGTTTGCTAGAGTGCATTTGGATGATCCAGAAGAGGATTGGGAGAATGTCATATGGTCAGATGAAACCAAAATATAACTTTTTGGTAAAAACTCAACTCGTCGTGTTTGGAGGACAAAGAATGCTGAGTTGCATCCAAAGAACACCATACCTACTGTGAAGCATGGGGGTGGAAACATCATGCTTTGGGGCTGTTTTTCTGCAAAGGGACCAGGACGACTGATCCGTGTAAAGGAAAGGATGAATGGGGCCATGTATCGTGAGATTTTGAGTGAAAACCTCCTTCCATCAGCAAGGGCATTGAAGATGAAACGTGGCTGGGTCTTTCAGCATGACAATGATCCCAAACACACCGCCCGGGCAACGAAGGAGTGGCTTCGTAAGAAGCATTTCAAGGTCCTGGAGTGGCCTAGCCAATGTCCAGATCTCAACCCCATAGAAAATCTTTGGAGGGAGTTGAAAGTCCGTGTTGCCCAGCGACAGCCCCAAAACATCACTGCTCTAGAGGAGATCTGCATGGAGGAATGGGCCAAAATACCAGCAACAGTGTGTGAAAACCTTGTGAAGACTTACAGAAAACGTTTGACCTGTGTCATTGCCAACAAAGGGTATATAACAAAGGATTGACAAAACTTTTGTTATTGACCAAATACTTATTTTCCACCATCATTTGCAAATAAATTCATTAAAAATCCTACAATGTGATTTTCTGGATTTTTTTTTCTCATTTTGTCTGTCATAGTTGACGTGTACCTATGATGAAAAGTACAGGCCTCTCTCATATTTTTAAGTGGGAGAACTTGCACAATTGGTGGCTGACCAAATACTTTTTTTCCCCACTGTAGAGGTGATTGTCAAGGAGCCTCTGGAGAACCCGGCTAACATGCCCCTCATGCTCCTTCAGTGACCTCGAGAAGATGAGGATATCGTCCAGGTACACGAAGACGAACAGATTAAGCATATCCCGGAGAACATCATTAATCAGGGCTTGGAATACTGCGGGGGCATTGGTGAGCCCGAACGGCATCACCCGATATTCATAGTGCCCCGTGGGCGTGTTGAACGCCGTCTTCCATTCGTCTCCTTGCCGGATCCGCACGAGATGGTAAGCATTGCGGAGATCCAGCTTAGTAAAAATGGAAGCCCCTTGAAGCAGCTCAAAAGCAGTGGCCATGAGAGGAAGGGGGTATCGATTCCGAACCGTGATCTTGTTGAGTCCCCGGTAATCAATACAAGGCCTAAGACCCCCGTCTTTCTTTTCAACAAAAAAGAAGCCCGCCCCAGCCGGGGAAGTAGAGGCATAGATGAGGCCGGCTGCCAAGGACTCCTTAATGTAGGTGTCCATAGCTGCGTGCTCGGGGGAGGACAAGGAAAAGATCCGACCTCTAGGAGGGCAGCACCCAGGGAGTAGATCAATGGCACAGTCATACGTGCGATGAGGCGGTAAGGCAGTAGCCCGGGCCTTGCTGAACACTGCCTTGAATCGATGGTAAACACTGGGGACTCGGGAGACGTCAACAGACTCTTGAAACTGGGTACTAGGGGCTGAGGGACTCTGAAGCATGCAGGTGAGTTGGCAAGTGGGACCCCAGCTTAGAATGGTGCCAGTAGGCCAGTCGATCTGGGGATTATGTCTGCATAGCCAAGGGTGACCCAGGATAATAGGATACTCGGGAGAGTCAATAAGATAGAAGGTCTCCTCCTGCTGGTGTTGAGAGATGGTAAGTCGCAGGGACTGAGTCGCCTCGGTAACCTTTCCTGGTTCCAGAGGTCTGCCATCTAAGGCTGTAACTGCCTGGGGTTGAGGAAGTAGTTGGGTAGGGATCTTAAGTTCCTTAGCCAAGGTTACATCCAGGAAATCACCTGCGGCACCGGAATCGATCATAGCCTGGACCCGATGCTGGTGGCCCCCCCAGGACAGAGTGGCTGGAATAGCCAGGACAGCGTTAGTAGGAGGCGCTCTAATTCTCCCCATCACAGCCCTCCTGTAGCTGGGCGGGGACAGACGTTTCCCGAAAGCTCGGGGCAAGTGGAGCGGAAGTGGCCGGCAACCCCGCAGTAGAGGCACCGACGCTCCCTCATGCGACGTTCCCTTTCGTTGGGAGAAAGCCTGGAACGGCCTAACTGCATGCTCTCCGGGGAATCCTGGAGCAGTTCAGGAGCCGGGGAAGCTCTGAATGACGGAGTCCAAACAGGAGAAACAGCGCTGCTCAGAGGAACTTGGGACTGAGACACCTGACGGCGAGCCGTTCTCCGCTCTCTTAGACGATTGTCCAGGCGGATGGCCAAGGCTATGAGGGACTCGAGATCTCCAGCTGGTTCCCGGGTGGCTAACTCATCTTGAAGAGGCTCAGATAACCCTCCCTGAAAGCAGACCCTCAGCGCTTCATCATTCCATCCGCTCCTTGCTGCTATGGTCCGGAACTCAATGGCAAAATCTGCCGTGCTTCGGGAGCCCTGACGAAGAGACAGTAGGCGCTTGGAAGCCTCCCGCCCACTGACAGGATGATCGAACACCCGCTTGAACTCTTCTACAAATGCAGCGTGGGAGTCACAACAGGCCTCCTGGGACTGCCACACCGCAGAAGCCCAGGCGAGCGCCTTGTCTGAAAGAAGGGTAATGATGTAGGCAATCTTGGAACGGTCTGTGGGAAAACTTGAGGGTTGGAGCTCGAAGGTGAGGGAGCATTGGGTGAGGAAACCCTGGCAAGAGCTTGGATCCCCAGAAAAGGGCTTGGGAGGTGGTAGTCGGGGCTCCGCCAACCGAGAAGGCCTGTCGTCACTGGGGGGTGACCTGGGGGAAGGGAGAGGACCAGGGAGGCGTTCAACGAGCTGGCGGAGGGAACTCATCATTTCGGCCAGGAGTTGAGAATGACTAGCCATCAGCTCCTCTTGTCGGCTGAGAACGGCTTCATGGCGCTGGAAAGAAGCCTCATGTCGAGTGATCACCGCCAACAGGTCCTGGGAACTGAGTGTTTCTGGGTCCATGAGTGACTTGGTTATTCTGTCACAAGCCGGGCTAGAACTCCGGTCTCAGATGTGGAAAGCTGGGGGTACTACCCCTTAGCCACAGAGGAGATGTTGTAGGACCCAAATGAAACACCCAAGGCAATACTCCAGGTAAGTTGATTTAATGTTCCAAAACAGGAGGCAAAACAAAACAACTCCACGAGGGGAGAAAAACAAACTAAAGATAACTTCGAACAGCTTACTAGGACAGACACGGTGGAACAAAGCAGGAGACACATAGTCAGGACGCAATAACCAAGTGAGAAACAAGGGGAAAACACACAGCTAAAATACTAAAGGGAAAACAAGGCACAGGTGACCTGGATCAAACTAATGAGGACACACGAGGAAGAACTAAGGCAGAGGGGAACACAGCTGACCTCTAGAGGCCCGGAGACAAACAGGAGAAGCAGGAAGCTGACACTACTAAAGGACACCAATAAGAAGAAGAGACCTGCTTGGGCCAAGAAACATGAGTAATGGACATTAGACCGGTGGAAATGTGTCCTTTGGTCTGGAGTCCAAATTTGAGATTTTTGGTTCCAACCGCTGGACCACAAGTTCTCAATGGAATTAAGGTCTGGGGATTGTCTTTGTGAGATGCGGTGTGGGTGGACGGATGATCTCTGCGTGTGTAGTTCCCACTGTAAAGCATGGAGGAGGAGGTGTTATGGTGTGGGGGTGCTTTGCTGGTGACACTGTGCAAGGCACACTTAACCAGCATGGCTACCACAGCATTCTGCAGCGATACACCATCCCATCTGGTTTGGGCTTAGTGGGACAATCATTTGTTTTTCAACAGGACAATGACCCAACACACCTCCAGACTGTGTAAGGGCTATTTTACCAAGAAGGAGAGGTATGGAGTGCTGCATCAGATGACCTGGCCTCCATAATCCTCCGATCTCAACCCAATTGAGATGGTTTGGCATGAGTTGGACAGCAGAGTGAAGGAAAAGCAGCCAACAAGTGCTCAGCATATATGGGAACTCCTTCAAGACTGTTGGAAAAGCATTCCAGGTGAAGCTGGTTGAGAGAATGCCAAGCGTGTGTAAAGCTGTCATCAAGGCAAAGGGTGGCTATTTGAAGAATCTCAAATATAAAATATATTTTGATTTGTTTAACATTTTTTGGTTACTACATGATTCCATATGTGTTATTTCATAGTTTTGATGTCTTCACTATTATTCTACATTGTAAAAAAAAATAGTAAAAATAAAGAAAAACCCTTGAATGAGTAGGTGTGTCCAAACTTTTGACTGGTACTGTACAGTCGTGGTCAAAGGTTTTGAGAATGACACAAGTATTGGTCTTCACAAAGTCGCTGCTTCAGTGTTATGAGATATTTTTGTCAGATGTTACTATGGTATACTGAAGTATAATTACAAGCATTCCATAAGTGTCAAAGGCTTTTATTGACAATTACATTAAGTTTATGCAAAGAGTCAATATTTGCAGTGTTGACCCTTCTTTTTCAAGACCTCTGCAATCCGCCCTGGCATGCTGTCAATTAACTTCTGGGCCACATCCTGACTGATGGCAGCCCATTCTTGCATAATCAATGCTTGGAGTTTGTCAGTATTTGTGGGTTTTTGTTTGTCCACCCGCCTCTTGAGGATCGACCACAAGTTCTCAATGGGATTAAGGTCTGGGGAGTTTCCTGGCCTTGTTCCCCGAGCCACTTAGTTATCACTTTTGCCTTATGGCAAGGTGCTCCATCATGCTGGAAAAGGCATTGGTCATCACCAAACTGTTCTTGGATAGTTGGGAGAAGTTGCTCTCGGAGGATGTGTTGGTACCATTCTTTATTCGTGGCTGTGTTCTTAGGCAAAATTGTGAGTGAGCCCACTCCCTTGGCTGAGAAGCAACCCCACACATGAATGGTCTCAGGATGCTTTACTGTTGGCATGACACAGGACTGATGGTAGCGCTCACCTTGTCTTCTCCGGACAAGGTGTTTTCCGGATGCCCCAAACAATCGGAAAGGGGATTCATCAGAAAATGACTTTACCCCAGTCCTCAGCAGTCCAATCCCTGTACCTTTTGCAGAATATCAGTCTGTCCCTGATGTTTTTCCTGGAGAGAAGTGGCTTCTTTGCTGCCTTTCTTGACACCAGGCCATCCTCCAAAAGTCTTCGCCTCACTGTGCGTGCAGATGCACTCACACCTGCCTGCTGCCATTCCTGAGCAAGCTCTGCACTGGTGGTGCCCCGATCCCGCAGCTGAATCAACTTTAAGAGACAGTCCTGGCGCTTGCTGGACTTTATTGGGCGCCCTGAAGTCTTCTTCACAACAATTGAACCTCTCTCCTTGAAGTTCTTGATGATCCGATAAATGGTTGATTTAGGTGCAATCTTACTAGCAGCAATATCCTTGCCTGTGAAGCCCTTTTTGTGTCAAGCAATGATGACGGCACGTGTTTCCTTGCAGGTAACCATGGTTAACAGAGGAAGAACAATGATTTCAAGCACCACCCTCCTTTTAAAGCTTCCAGTCTGTTATTCTAACTCAATCAGCATGACAGAGTGATCTCCAGCCTTGTCCTTGTCAACACTCTCACCTGTGTTAACGAAAGAATCACTGACATGATGGCAGCTGGTCCTTTTGTGGCAGGGCTGAAATGCAGTGGAAATGTTTTTTGGGATTAAGTTCATTTTCATGGCAAAAAGGGACTTTGCAATTAATCATGACATTCTGGAGTATATGCAAATTGCTATCATCAAAACTGAGGCAGCAGACTTTGTGAAAATTAGTATTTGTGTCATTCTCAAAACTTTTGACCACGACTGTACATCTTTTTTATCACTTAGTCATATCACATGGTAGGGTGCTGTAAACAATTAACGCATCTGTCTGATGAGGAGAGAGAATGTGAGGGTTAGAGAGAAGGAAGATATGGTAGCCCTGAAGTGGTTTCTATTATTAGTAAGGCTGCTTCCCTACTGACTCCTTCTCTCTCCTCTTTCGCTCTCTTCTCTCTCTCACCATCTGCCACCACAGGAGAAGGGAGACGAGATCTTTTAAATGTATAATAGGAAGGTGGGACCACACAAATACCTACATTGATGTAGAAATATAATTAGCTGTGCAGCACAAGCCAACAGTAGTATGTTGGAGAAGGCTACAGGGCATACAGGTAGGTTGAACCATACATTGTTATGTAGACCCAGGGGGAACTTGGACATTTGGAATTGTGGACAGATCATTTTAGCAACCGTCAAACCTCACTTGTAGAACAATTTCAGTCAGTGTCATCGATCAACGTGAAGATATTCTCAAATAATTTTTGAAATGTCCGTATCATACTGTGTCCTTACATCATCATGATGAGGGGTCATAAAGGGTCATCACTTAACATTCAGCATAACATCTCTTTTAGCTCGGGGGAGAACATCAGGATGAAAGATAACTTATTTTCCAAGGCAGGCAGGCAGGCAGAGAGAGAGAGAGAGAGAGAGAGAGAGAGTAAGGATGGATGGAAGGAGGGAGGGTCACACCTCTGTAGGTACAGTGAAGAGTTTGATTATTCTGAGGTCTGAGTCACTAAGCCTGGTTGTCTCGAAAAGGATGTTGCCAGGGACCCTCTGAACACATTAACAAAGCATTGTTACCTATCGCTCCACAAAAGCCATGGCCCTTGCAGAGCAAGGGAAACAACTACTTCAATGTTTCAGAGCAAGTGACGTCACTGATTGAAATGCTACTAGCAGTCACCACTAACTAGCTAGCCATTTCACACCGGTTACATTCACATTGGCTAGGTAGGGCTGGCTCCTGAGTCTCCTGCACTGTGACACCATCCTGCCAGGACCTAACATGATTAAGGCCTCAGGGCTGGAGGGGAGAGAGGTAGTGAGGTAGTGAGGTAGTGAGGTAGTGAGGGAGGGAGGGAGGGAGGGAGGGAGGGAGGGAGGGAGGGAGGGAGGGAGGGAGGGAGGGAGGGAGACTGCTAGAGAAAAAGTGGGAAATAGAGAGAGAGGGGTAGAGGGAGAAGGAAAGAGAGCGGGGTAGAGGGAGAAGGAGAGAGAGCGGGGTAGAGGGAGAAGGAGAGAGAGCGGGGTAGAGGGAGAAGGAGAGAGAGTGGGGTAGAGGGAGAAGGAGAGATAGCGGGGTAGAGGGAGAAGGAGAGAGAGCGGGGTAGAGGGAGAAGGAGCAAGAGGGGAGAGAGAGAGAAGGAGAAACAGCACAGGCACCCACTGAGCAGATAATAAGCAGAACAAGAGGAAGAAATGAAGAGAAAGAGAAAGGGGGAGGGCAGCACAATGATTAACAAGCATGATATAAGAGTTTAGTGATTTGAAAAAAAAGAAACGCGTTAGGATCTTTTCCAGCACACCATCTGTTTCAAGCTGCTGAGTTTTATCTCATGGAAAGCTTTCAAACTTTAGCTATTTTGCCATGTTTTGCTTTGAGAAGCTCAATAAATATATAATATGTCTCTAATGTCCTGATCTCATTTTGATATTATTATGACCTTCCAATAGGTCACAACTGCATCAACAATGGACAACTCACACACACACTGTTCAATCAAAACGTGTTACTACAGTATTGGACTATTGATGGATACTCTTACATAAAAATAGCAGGAAGTATCAAATATCCCATCACCATTATTTGTCCCCTCTGGTATTTGGTCACATTTATTAATAGATATAAATAAACTATAATGGTATTTTACCTCGTTGGAGCCGCTGGCCCCCTATCTATCGGAGCCATAGTGTCTAGTGTCTGAAGATGTACAGACACAGGCCAAAAGTGCTCCATCCCCTAGCGCTCCAATGCCATCTAAACACACACACACACAGCCACATTGTTTTTCAGAAGTACAGGCTCCTCCTAACCTAGCTCCATGCTGTATTATAAAGTGCAATTTGTTTGATCACACATATACACTACCGTTCAAAAGTTTGGGGTCACATACAAATGTCCTTGTTTTTGAAAGAAAATCAGTTTTTTGTCCATTAAAATAACATCAAATTGATTAGAAATACAGTGTAGACATTGTTAGTGTTGTAAATGGCTATTGTAGCTGGAAATGGCTGATTTTTAATGGAATATCTACATAGGCGTACAGATGCCCTTTATCAGCAACCATCAGTCCTGTGTTCCAATGGCACGTTGTGTTTGCTAATCCAAGTTTATCATTTTAAAAGGCTAATTGTTCATTAGAAAACCCTTTTGCAATTATGTTAGCACAGCTGAAAACTGTTGTGCTGATTAAAGAAGCAATAAAACTGGCCTTCTTGAGACTAGTTGAGTATCTGGAGCATCAGCAATTGTGGGTTCGATTACAGGCTCAAAATGGCCAGAAACAAATAACTTTCTTCTGAAACTCGTCAGTCTATTCTTGTTCTGAGAAATGAAGGCTATTCCATGCAAGAAATTGCCAAGAAACTGAAGATCTCGTACAACGCTGTGTACTACTCCCTTCACAGAACAGCGCAAACACCAGTCTCAACGTCAACAGTGAAGAGGCGACTCCGGGATGCTGACCTTCTAGGCAGAGTTGGAAAGAAAAAGCCATATCTCAGACTGCTCATCTTAATCTTTTATTTTTATTGGCCAGTCTGAGATATGGCTTTTTCTTTGCAACTCTGCCTAGAAGGTCAGCATCCCGGAGTCGCCTCTTCACTGTTGATGTTAAGACTGGTGTTTTGCAGGTACTATTTAATGAAGCTGCCAGTTGAGGACCTGTGAGGTGCCTGTTTCTCCAACTAGACACTCTAATGTATTTGTCCTCTTGCTCAGTTGTGCATTAGAGCCAGAATAGCCGTTTCCAGCTACAATAGCCATTTACAACATTAACAATGTCTACACTGTATTTCTGATCAATTTTATGTTATTTGAATGGACAAAAAAATTGCTTTTCTTTCGAAAACAAGGACATTTCTAAGTGACCCCAAACTTTTGAACGGTAGTGTACATCTGGAGAACCATGTACCTCAGTTGGTAGAGCACGGCGCTTGCAACGCCAGGGTTGTGGGTTTGCTTCCCACGGGGGACCAGTATGAAAATGTATGCACTCACTACTGTAAGTCACTCTGGATAAGAGCGTCTGCTAAATGACAAAAAAAAGAACATGAGATACATAAAGAATTCCTATTGATTTTCTTCCTTTTAATAAGAATAGGGTGCATTTCTTGTAATATGATTCATATGAGGGTCATCTCTGTGCAGAATGATGAATGAGTGTGGTACAGAATATGTTTATTTGAGCTTCATCATGCTGTTATCCAGCGTGGCTACTGTACAGTAAGTGCACCGTGAATGGAGAATGGTTGAGGACACTGTCATTGGGACTCATTGTCTAAATCTCTCAGACATAGGCCCTTACATTATTCAATCTATTACCATATTACATTTTGCTTCTAAGGGAAACTTCGCACAGGATGATTAGAGGTAGAATTTTAAAGAAAAATATATAGGAGCAGGACATGTCTGTGAGTTGGAAGTGCTACACTCAGGTATGCTATTCTGACAAGACATGTTCAGACACATCTCATGACCATCGCTTTGAAATATGACATATGTTCCACTATACTGCTTGACTCATTCATGAGAAGAAGTGGAAAAAGACACCTGCCTGCCTTATATATATATATACATATTCCCTGCTTACAGTAGAGCCAGCTGGCTAGCATGGCCTCCTATTTGTCAGATTGATTCACTGAAGTTCAATAAGAAATTAACTGCAACATTTTACCACGAAATGCCGATAAATCTCTGGCATAGCTTGTCGAATGGTTTATTCACCAACACTCCTCTCTCGCACGCATGCTTACACACGCACACAGGCACACAAAACACATGCACAAACACACACACGACACACACACTCACACTCCTCCAGCCCTTTGATTACTTCTGACTACGGTGGCATCTTCCTGGCTCATGAACTCCATGTTCTCTTTGACCCCAAGCCTTAGAGGGCTGAGTACTTGAGTTACAGTTAAGTCAGTTACACTACTCAGTAGTACTGTTCACTTTTGTCATATTTTTGTCCCATCCCTCTAACTGGTTAAGGTTTCACAATATTTCTGTTCACAAAATTCACTCAAAACTGACTCCTTCTCTCTCCTCTTTCGCTCTCTTCTCTCTCTCACCATCTGCCACCACAGGAGAAGGGAGACGAGATCTTTTAAATGTATAATAGGAAGGTGGGACCACACAAATACCTACATTGATGTAGAAATATAATTAGCTGTGCAGCACAAGCCAACAGTAGTATGTTGGAGAAGGCTACAGGGCATACAGGTAGGTTGAACCATACATTGTTATGTAGACCCAGGGGGAACTTGGACATTTGGAATTGTGGACAGATCATTTTAGCAACCGTCAAACCTCACTTGTAGAACAATTTCAGTCAGTGTCATCGATCAACGTGAAGATATTCTCAAATAATTTTTTAAATGTCCGTATCATACTGTGTCCTTACATCATCATGATGAGGGGTCATAAAGGGTCATCACTTAACATTCAGCATAACATCTCTTTTAGCTCGGGGGAGAACATCAGGATGAAAGATAACTTATTTTCCAAGGCAGGCAGGCAGGCAGAGAGAGAGAGAGAGAGAGAGAGAGAGAGTAAGGATGGATGGAAGGAGGGAGGGTCACACCTCTGTAGGTACAGTGAAGAGTTTGATTATTCTGAGGTCTGAGTCACTAAGCCTGGTTGTCTCGAAAAGGACGTTGCCAGGGACCCTCTGAACACATTAACAAAGCATTGTTACCTATCGCTCCACAAAAGCCATGGCCCTTGCAGAGCAAGGGAAACAACTACTTCAATGTTTCAGAGCAAGTGACGTCACTGATTGAAATGCTACTAGCAGTCACCACTAACTAGCTAGCCATTTCACACCGGTTACATTCACATTGGCTAGGTAGGGCTGGCTCCTGAGTCTCCTGCACTGTGACACCATCCTGCCAGGACCTAACATGATTAAGGCCTCAGGGCTGGAGGGGAGAGAGGAGTCTTATGGCTTGGGGGTAGAAGCTGTTGAGAAGTCTTTTGGACCTAGACTTGGCACTCCAGTACCGCTTGCCGTGCGGTAGCAGAGAGAACAGTCTATGACTAGGGTGGCTGGAGTCTTTGACAATTTTTAGGGCCTTCCACTGACACCGCCTGGTATAGAGGTCCTGGATGGCAGGAAGCTTGGCCCCAGTGATGTATTGGGCCGTACGCACTACCCTCTGTAGTGCCTTGCGGTCGGAGGCCACGCAGTTGCCATACCAGGCGGTGATGCAACCAGTCAGGATGCTCTCGATGGTGCAGCTGTAGAATTTTTTGAGGATCTGAGGACCCATGCCAAATCTTTTCAGTCTCCTGAGGGGGAATAGGCTTTGTCGTGCCCTCTTCACGACTGTCTTGGTGTGTTTGGACCATGATAGTTCGTTGGTGATGTGGACACCAAGGAACTTGAAGCTCTCAACCTGTTCCACTACAGCCCCGTCGATGAGAATGGGGGCATGCTCAGTCCTCTTTTTTTTCCTGTAGTCCACAATCATCTCCTTTGTCTTGGTCACGTTGAGGGAGAGGTTGTTGTCCTGGCACCTTACAGCCAGGTCTCTGACCTCCTCCCTATAGGCTGTCTCATCGTTGTCGGTGATCAGGCCTACCACTGTTGTGTCGTCGGCAAACTTAATGATGATGTTGGAGTCGTGCCTGGCCATGCAGTCATGGGTGAACAGGGAATACAGGAGGGGACTGAGCACGCACCCCTGAGGGGCCCCTGTGTTGAGGAACAGTGTTTCAGATGTGTTGTTACCTACCCTTACCACCTGGGGGCGGCCCGTCAGGAAGTCCAGGATCCAGTTGCAGAGGGAGGTGTTTAGTCCCAGGATCCTTAGCTTAGTGATGAGCTTAGAGGGCACTATGGTGTTGAATGCTGAGCTGTAGTCAATTAATAGCATTCTCACATAGGTGTTCCTCTTGTCCAGGTGGGAAAGGGCAGTGTGTAGTGCAATAAAGATTGCATCATCTGTGGATCTGTTGGGGCGGTATGCAAATTGGAGTGGGTCTAGGGTTTCTGGGATAATGCTGTTGATGTGAGCCATGACCAGCCTTTCAAAGCACTTCATGGCTACAGACGTCAGTGCTACGGGTCGGTAGTCATTTAGGCAGGTTATCTTAGAGTCCTTGGGCACGGGGACTATGGTGGTCTGCTTGAAACATGTTGGTATTACAGACTCAGTCAGGGACATGTTGAAAATGTCAGTGAAGACACTTGCCAGTTGGTCAGCACATGCTCGGAGTACACGTCCTGGTAATCCGTCTGGCCCTGCGGCCTTGTGAATGTTGACCTGCTTAAAAGTCTTACTCACATCGGCTACGGAGAGCGTGATCACATAGTCATCCGGAACAGCTGGAGCTCTCATGCATGCTTCAGTGTTGCTTGCCTCGAAGCGAGCATAGAAGTGGTTTAGCTCGTCTGGTAGGCTTGTGTCACTGGGTAGCTCGCGGCTGTGCTTCCCTTTGTAGTCTGTAATAGTTTTCAAGCCCTGCCACATCCGACGAGCATCAGAGCCAGTGTAGTACGATTCAATCTTAGTCCTGTATTGACTCTTTGCCTGTTTGATGGTTCGTCGGAGGGCATAGCGGGATTTCTTATAAGCGTCCGGGTTAGAGTCCCGCTCCTTGAAAGCGGCAGCTCTACCCTTTAGCTCAGTGCGGATGTTTCCTGTAATCCATGGCTTCTGGTTGAGGTATGTACGTCCGGTCACTGTGGGGACGACATCATCGATGCACTTATTGATGAAGCCAGTGACTGATGTGGTGTACTCCTCAATGCTGTCTGAAGAATCCCGGAACATGTTCCAGTCTGTGCTAGCAAAACAGTCCTGTAGCTTAGCATCTGCGTCATCTGACCACTTTTTTATTAACCGAGTCACTGGTGCTTCCTGCTTTAGTTTTTGCTTATAAGCAGGAATCAGGAGGATAGAGTTATGGTCAGATTTGCCAAATGGAGGGCGAGGGAGAGCTTTGTATGCGTCTCTGTGTGTGGAGTAAAGGTGGTCCAGAGTTTTTTTTCCTCTGGTTGCACATTTAACATGCTGGTAGAAATTAGGTAGAACGGATTTAAGTTTCCCTGCATTAAAGTCCCCGGCCACTAGGAGCGCTGCATCTGGATGAGCGTTTTCCTGTTGATTTATGGCCTTATACAACTCATTCAGTGCAATCTTAATGCCAGCATTGGTTTGTGGTGGTAAATAGACAGCTATGAAAAATATAGATGAAAACTCTCTTGGTAAATAGTGTGGTCTACAGCTTATCATAAGATACTCTACCTCAGGCGAGCAAAACCTCTAGACTTCCTTAGTATTTGATTTTGTGCACCAGCTGTTGTTTACAAATATACACAGACCGCCACCCCTTGTCTTACCGGAGTCCACCGAAGCAATCAATCAATCAGATTCCAAACTCTCCACCATGGCCAAGACCAAAGAGCTCTCCAAGGATGCCAGGGACAAGATTGTAGACCTCCACAAGGCTGGAATGGGCTACAAGCCCATCACCAAGCAGCTTGGTGAGAAGGTGACAACAGTTGGTGCGATTATTCGCAAATGGAAGAAACACAAAATAACTGTCAATCTCCCTCGGCCTGGGGCTCCATGCAAGATCTCACCTTGTGGAGTTGCAATGATCATGAGAACGGTGAGGAATCAGCCCAGAACTACACAGGAGGATCTTGTCAATGATCTCAAGGCAGCTGGGACCATAGTCACCAAGAAAACAATTGGTAACACACTACGCCGTGAAGGACTGAAATCCTGCAGCGCCCGCAAGGTCCCCCTGCTCAAGAAAGCACATATACAGGCCCGTCTGAAGTTTGCCAATGAACATCTGAATGATTCAGAGGAGAACTGGGTGAAAGTGTTGTGGTCAGATGAGACCAAAATCGAGCTCTTTGGCATCAACTCAACTCGACGTGTTTAGAGGAGGAAGAATGCTGCCTATGACCCCAAGAACACCCTCCCCACCGTCAAACATGGAGGTGGAAACATTATGCTTTGGGGGTGTTTTTCTGCTAAGGGGACAGGACAACTTCACCGCATCAAAGGGACGATGGACGGGGCCATGTACCGTCAAGTCTTGAGTGAGAACCTTCTTCCCTCAGCCAGGGCATTGAAAATGGGTCGTGGATGGGTATTCCAGCATGACAATGACCCAAAACACACGGCCAAGGCAACAAAGGAGTGGCTCAAGAAGAAGCACATTAAGGTCCTGGAGTGGCCTAGCCAGTCTCCAGGCCTTAATCCCATAGAAAATCTGTGGAGGGAGCTGAAGGTTCGAGTAGCCAAACGTCAGGCTAGAAACCTTAATGACTTGGAGAAGATCTGCAAAGAGGAGTGGGACAAAATCCCTCCTGAGATGTGTGCAAAACTGGTGGCCAACTACAAGAAACGTCTGACCTCTGTGATTGCCAACAAGGGTTTTGCCACCAAGTACTAAGTCATGTTTTGCAGAGGGGTCAAATACTTATTTCCCTCATTAAAATGCAAATCAATTTATAACATTTTTGACATGCGTTTTTCTGGATTTTTTTGTTGTTATTCTGTCTCTCACTGTTCAAATAAACCTACCATTAAAATTATAGTGATCATGTCTTTGTCAGTGGGCAAACATACAAAATAAGCAGGGGATCAAATACCTTTTTCCCTCACTGTATAGCATTTCCCCCTGTGACACTAAACACATCCCTTCACCCTGGCAGTCCTATCCTCTCTCCTCCTCTCCTCTCCTCTGAGCGACCTGTGATTGAGTCTTTTATCACATCAGTTGTCATATTAAAGACTCGGCGCCCTGGCTGCCAGCAGCTGCCATCAGAGGTCTCCTCATCGCAACCCCCAGAGGACCTCCTGCCTCCTCAGACTTCCTGCTGAGATAGTGGTGCCCTGAGACAGCC